TTCAATAAGGATGAAAACATCTTTGACATTACAATGGTTTGTGATCTGAAGCTCCCCCTTACCCAACAAAATCTTATCCAACTTTAATTCCTCTTGTTGTAGAGAATATGTAAATAAAGTTTTTCAGCATTCGAGATCTTAGTTCCTCAACCAGGGATCGAATCTGTGTCCCCTACAGTGGAAGCACAAAGTCCTAACCATTGGACCACCAAGTGGTCCAAGAAAATTCAATATGGATTTTAACCTTTCTCCTTTAGTGGAGGGGCGATAATGAAAAACCACCACCAAAAAAAAAAGGCTGAGAAAGAGTTACAGAGACCTGGGTTCTAATCCCGTATCTGCCATTTATTCATCATGTGATCTTGGGCCAAACCTGCCTTTAAGCTATTCGTTTCCTCATCTGTATCATGCACAACTTTTAGACAAGAATGACCAATACAGTACCCGGCATGCGGCAAGAGCTCCAAAAATACTAGTTGCTATTTTTCTTGTTATCTGGTTGGGAGAGTTGAGGAAAATGGTTAAGTAAAAGGAGTCAAGGGTGAAGGGAGATCAATAAGATGCCACATTATAAGAAGCTACAAATTGGTCCTTTGGCAGCAGTGCCCACAGATATTGTCCCTGACCCCTGCGTATTCTCGAGGCTTTGAAAAAACTATAGAGACACCTTACTTAGCTTACTGGGCCAATTCCCTTATAAATTATGGAAGTTGCTGGAAGAGAACAATAAGAGGGGTTCCTTTGGCTGTAGGAAGATTTGTGTGTAGGAAAGTCTTGGGCACTTAATCTCTATCATGATCTGTAAGGCTGAGAGGCTGGATCATGTCACTGGACTGTTTTGTGTTCCTTGGAAACTATTGCTGAGTAAACGCGAGCTAGATGCCATCTCAAATATCCTCAGAACATTCCTGTATAATGTGAAGTAAGGGAAGTGGTGACATTTAGAATGAGGCACAGGGATCCGGAGAGATCAGGTCACACGCCACATGCAGACAAATCAGACAGCAATTAACGTTTATTAAGCACTCTCTGGTTGTAAGTGTATCAGATAAGAACTCTAGCTACAGTCATGGAAAAGTTCAAGAAAGTGTTGTCCTTAATAGACTCTGGCTAGTTTTAGCCAGTTTAAGACTTGCTTGTACTTTTTTTCATTGATATTGTCTCACCATGGTACAGACTATAATCACCCAACACCTACTGTGTACTGGACACTTTCTAGGGGGAGCTCCTACAGATGATTTACAGGAGTAGCACAAAGACGTGGACCAGACTTATAATATGTACCAGGACTACACCAAGAGCTGGGGCTTCCCAGGTGGCTCAGGGGTAAAAAGAATTGGCTTGTCAAGCAGGAGACCTGGGTTCAATCCCTGGTTCAGGAAGATCCTCTGGAGGAGGAAATGGCAACCACCCCAGTATTCTTGCCTGGAAAATCCTATGGGCAGAGGAGACTGGTGGTGGAGCTACAGTCTACAGGGTGACAAAGGAGTCAGACACAACTTAGCGAACTAAACAGCAGCAGCATACCAAAAACTAGAGAAAAAGGGAAGACAAATAAAAAAACCAAAGTCCTTTCTCTATAGGGAGAATAACCTAGCTGGTGGGTCAGATTGAGCAGGGTATGATTTGACAGTCAAAGATAAATGCAAATCAGAGTTTAGGGTAAGAGAATGTTCAAATTGGGGACTTCCCTGGTGGCCCAGTGTTTAAAAATCTACCTTGCAATGCAGGGGACATGGGTTTGATCCTTGGTCAGGGAACCAAGATCCCACATGCCTTGGAGCAACAAACCCTACACACCACAAGACCCAGAGCAGCCCCCCCCAAAAGAGAGAGAATGTTCAAATTACCAACTGAAATTATGTTTCTGGTACTTTATCTATGACCGTTTTCATCTCCCTAAATAACAGAAGACTTTAATGGTGTAAGAAATAGGTTTATCTGCTCTAATATGTCCCACTTATTACAGGTAGACAAAATCTAACTGCAAAGATTCGGAGGTGGCTGAACCGTTTCTCTTCAACACAGGCACATCAGACTTATGAAAGGACACCACGAAGTTTAGTCAGAAAGCTTGGACTTGCCACTTATTAGCTGGGAGAGGGGCTGTAAAATGGGGATAATAATAACCCCTAATTAATAAAGCTATTGAAGAATAAGGGAGATAACATCTATATAAAAAGGGGATCTTCCTGACCCAGAGATTGCACCTGTGATGAACCTGAGTCTCTCATATTGCAGGCAGATTCTTTACCATCTGAGCAACCAGGGAAGCCGTGTGTGTGTGTGTAAGTAAAATTATCTACTATTTGTAAAAGGAAATATAAAGAATTATTTATCTTTTGGGAATTTGCTGGCAGTTCAGTGGTTAGGATTCTGCATTTCCACTGCGGGGGGCCTGGGTTCCATCCGTGGCTGGGGAACTAAGACCCCCAAAGCTGCCCAGCATGGCCAAATAATTTTTTATTCTTTTTTGCCTATGTCTTATCCTAGATTAGGTAACCAGATACCTCATATTAGCCTACTGGTACTGTATCACACTTTGTTTTATTGTCATAAGGAGAATAAAAGGTGATTCATGGGTTGTCCTCCCCTCCTCCAAAAAGCCTGTTTTTGGTACAGATCTATAGCTCTCTACTGTATCCTGGAAACTGGCTCAAGGAGTTGAATAACTTGCCATTGCCAGCATACAATGTTAAGGGGCAAAAATGTCACACGCAGAATCCCAAGCAATTCTGAAAAATCAAAGCAAAAGTATTCTCTAGCTACTCAGACCTGAAATAAACTTGAATAGTCCCAAATTCAGAAGTCAACACATCCACCCGCACAGTCCTTAATGATAATAAAGAGAATTACTGAATGGCTACTATACACCATGCACCATGCTAGGACTTAAAAATGCAGAATATTGGGAGTTTCCTGATGGCCTAATGGTTAGGATTCTGGGTTTTCAGTGCCGTGGCCAGGGCTCAAGATCCTGTAAGCTATGTGGCACAGTTTAAAAAAAAAAAAAAGGATATTGTTTGTGAATAAAAACGAGAGAGACATCAAAGGAATAGAGGGCTTTCCAAATTGCCAGTGTTGACCAAAATTTGCTTCTCTTGCACTTTTGTCCTTGATACAAAATAACTGCCTTTGTTGGGTTACACCCAGTTTGGCTCACAGACATTGAAGAAATTATAACCTAGATGACTAAACGAACATACTCATCTAGAGACCATACAGTTTGCTGTGGATGGCAAAGTGTTACTAAACACAAGGTAAGATCAGATGAAAAGCTTCCTATATATACTCACATCTTTCTCCTGGATGGTGCATTCCTTACAGTAATAGGCATCTGAAACTCCAGGGCCTCCACAGATCACACAGCGTCCCTGGTAAGAGCCATAGTTACACTCGTCGCATATGCGCACCAGGGTGCAAGGACGCACATAGGAGTCACAGATCACACACTTGCCATCACCTATGAGGAGGAGAGAATGGAGTTACACCCACGTGCAAGTACCTCAAGTCCTTTGCCCTCCTCCTGCTATGGGGACTACACCAGTCTCCTAACAGTGACTTGTGGACCCTCTACTTTGGCATCACAAAACCTGACTTACCTTGTGTCCATCTCAATCTCTACAACACACAGTGAAAGTTAATCAACTACTGGGTAAAGAGCTTAGAGAAGCACCTGGTAGATACGTCTATATAAATTATTTGGCAGAACACTGTGTATATCAGGGATAGGATCACGCTACTTCCAGTCCAAAGCTAAAGATTCTCTCAAAACCTAGTGTCTAAAACGTGCAAGCTGGAGTGAGGGGGGTGGCCTTTAGTTGCAGCCTGGCATTGTGTTGATATTCTTCGGGTCACGTCTACTCAAAGCCCTCTTAGTGCCACCGCTGAAAATGCCCGTTTGCTTGCTCTACTGAAACTGAGTGGGCCAGGTGGGCTCTTTGGGGAGGCGTGTTCCACTCACACTTTTCACACAGTCTTCCAATGGCTGCAAGATAAAAGATGGTAAAGAGCACAATTAGGATTAAAGTTTTGACGAAGAGGGGACAAACATCCTCAAGCTTGCGGTGGGGACAGGAGCAGGGACTGCAGTGGGCCCTGAGGGGATCTATCCATCTTATCCCCTTAAACTTCAATCCGAACCAAATCCACAGCCTCCTGAAGCCCCTCATAGGTCCTATGCAAACTGAGACTTTCTCCCAACCCCATTCCGGCAGCCTGCCTCAAGCTCCCAGCACGCGAGCCCCCGCCCTCTTTTCATCAAAGACAGCAAACCCGCGCGCTCCTACACTTTCAACCGAGAGGCGGGAAACGTGGCGCCTCCCGGGCAAGACCCTAAGCAAGTGACGAGAACCCTGAACCTCTCAGGTCCTAATACCATTCCCACCCAGACAGCCGGGGGCAGAAAGCTGCCTCACCAACACCAGCCTGCTTGCGGCAAAAGATCAAGTCCGGATGATGTTTAGCCATAGCTCCCTCTCAAGCCACCGGAAGCTTAGGGAACTTCCGTCCGACCTTTAACCTCCGTTGCTCCTGCCTCTTGGTCGCGGTGATTGGTTCTCTAGACATCCATCAGCGTTTATACTCTTTGCACCAAGCCCCGCTGGTTCTCGCGAGATCAAATTCCAAAGTCAGGTTTCCGTCCTAACGGGTGCCAGGTTCTGGCAAGTGCCTGAAAGTTTAAAAAAAAAAAAACCACCTTTCCAGGACTTGAAGGGAAGAGGCAAACTGCAAAGTGCAAAGGTGAACTTTTCACTTCGATAAGACATTTCTGTGCCCGGCATTTACTTCCTTAAGTGTTTCTATGTATTTCTGTCCTCTCCCCTTTCGAGTCCTCACACGGGAGCTCCGCCCAAGGCGCTCGCAGGAGTAGGCGCCTCGGCGGAGGCACAGCCTTCACGAGGTCGTGTTTCTCTTCAGGCCACGCCCCCAGCCCGAAGGCTTTAAATACTCTGAGTGCACGTCACTTTCAAGCGACTTCATCTTTGTCAGTGCACAAAATGGCGCCTTACAGCCTACTGGTGTCCCGGCTGCAGGTGAGCGAACTGAGGGCCCTCTGGGTTCGCGGGGGCGGGGTGCCTCCTCATGTGCTTGCGGCTGTGGGCGAGGCAAGACGAGGCAGGCCCGACCTCCGGCCGGCTTTTCGTGTACCTGTCCCTGTCGCGGGCCCAGCACCCACGCTCGCTCCTCCGGCGCCCGAGGTCAAGGCGTCCCTGGCTCTGTCAGCTCTCTCTGTTCTGTCCCCGCCCAGCTGGAAGCTTGGGTCTAAGAAGCGGCGGCCAGGTGAAGAGTGGAGGTACCTCTTCCTCGTTTTTGTGGACCTCACTTTCTCCCACATAGGGTTTCGTTTCCTTTTCCTCAAGGTGAGGACAAGGTGACTGGGGGGACGCGGTGGTTGTTGAGCCCGCTAGGCCCAGAACCCGAAGGCCTCACTTCTCATCTCTCAGCAGCGGAGACTTTTTAGCCAAGTGCATCAATCGTTGTCACACCCGAAGTCTGGAGAAAAAAACTATAATCTATTCCATCTTGAGGGGATCCTGCAGAACATACAGCCAAGAGTTCGAGGGGACCTTCCGTCCCCAGCCGTAATTATTAGTAATGATAACAGTAGTCTCTCACCTTCGCACAGATTGCAAGACAATTCCTCATCATATCACTTAATTCATATGGTCATTTGGTAGGATGATTATTCTCATTTGATAGATGAAACTGCTAGGTAAAAGTTCCTACTCTCTTTGAGTGTTACCCAAGTCCGGTGGCCTTAGCATCTGCCCTACTACCCCGCTGTTCTCTTTGTTCATGTCAGCCTGCCCGCAGAACTTTTTGAGCCAGAGTGTGATCCTGGAGCTGACATTTGTGTTTGTGAGAGTACCAGAATGGAGTATTTTGAGCTCGCATTTGTTGCTTTTCAGTTACTAGATGGGAAGGTACAAGAATCAACAGTTTGGCCTTGACAGTCCTGTTATGAACTGTCTAGAAAATTGACTGTGACTGCCAGATGGCTTTTTCACTCCTAACTTGACAATCCCAGGAAGGTGTTGTTATACACAAAGGTGCAATGTCAAGCGTACATTTTAATAAAAATAAAGTAAGCAAGCACTTGTGGACATTCTATGCAACTTTTCACATTTAGCTTTGTGCATCTACTTTGGATCAAGTAGCTAGCTGTGCTTACAGGTTTGAAGAATATGTATTGTACCCTCAAAAAGTTTTCTGTTGCCAGAGGTTATTTATTAAGTCACATTGCTTAAATTTAAACCATTTAAAGTGAAGTCATCATATATCTTATTTATACTTACAGTCTCTCTGTTCTGGGCAGAAACAGGGTATTTGGCCTAATTATCTCTTTAGATGCTTTGATTCTCCGGGTTAATGATGTGGAATAGTTGTTTCTTCTTGATCCTGCTGTCACATGATCTAGTGAAGTTATACAAGGTTATTTGATAAGGTAAATTATTACAGATTTATTGAGCTTGGAAGAGAGAATTGATATCACAGTATTTTTTAACTGAAAAAGAATCTTGGAAAGCATGAGCATTAGCCACGCGTAGGAAGAGAGCTGGACTCCCCCATGTTAATCATACGCTAACCCATCCAAGTGACCTTGAACTTGTAAACTGAATCCCAGTTTCTTCATCTGTCATTTGGAGATTATGTTCATTGACAAACATTTATTGAGTACTTGGTGATCAGCTTCCATTCATATTGTTATAATGATTGTTACAAGGTGATGAGAAAGAATATATTTGTTTATGATCATCATGTCTTCCAACTTCCTCTTTTACAGATAGACACTCCAAGACCTTGAGAGCCTTGGTCTCCTTGTTTCTGCATTTAGCTAAGATGAATGACTAGCATTATTATACCACACTGTCTGCTAATAGCCAGGCTGTCTTAAGTAATGGCCAGCTTCCACTATCGTGTAAAAACTGTACATTTACCTCTTTCATGTTTAGCTACATTTGAGAAGTGATGGTACTACCTTAGTTGTCGTGTATACAGAACCCTGGCCATGCATTCAGTTTATTTACCACATATTAACTGAGTACCCTCTGCTTCTTCCGGATACAACGAGAAGCAGAAAGAGCAGACAATTCCTGTTCTCATGGAACTTCCACCTATATTCTAACATATTCTACTGCAGAAGATCTTGGAGATCTTTCTCAGCTGAAGTATTTTGGGCAGACCTTGACTGAACCTTGACTGGACCAAAGGTGATGGCAATTACAACTACCACTAAGAGCAGCTAACATTTAACTTAACTCTGTGCCAGTAGCCTCACATGACGTGTGAGATAGCGCAGATTTATTAGCCCTGTTTTATAGGTGAAGAAATAGGAGTAGAGCAGAAATAACAGTGTAATGGCTGAGAGCATAGATTTTGGCATCCCACTGTCTTACTTTATTTTTATTTTATTTTATTTTTTTTTATTTTATTTATTTATTTTTTTAAGTGAACTCTCCTAATTTTAATTTTTTTTTTTTTTTTTTTGTAAAATGCTTTTTTTTTTTTTTTACATGTATTCCCCATCCCGGTCCCCCCTCCCACCTCCCTCTCCACCCAATCCCTCTGGGTCTTCCCAGTGCACCAGGCCCGAGCACTTGTCTCATGCACCCAACCTGGGCTGGTGAACTGTTTCACCCTAGATAATATACGTGTTTCGATGCTGTTCTCTTGAAACATCCCACCCTCGCCTTCTCCCAGAGTCCACAAGTCTGTTCTATACATAGGAGTCTCTTTTTCTGTTTTGCACATAGGGTTATCGTTACCATCTTTCTAAATTCCATATATATGTGTTAGTATACTGTAATGGTCTTTATCTTTCTGGCTTACTTCGCTCTGTATAATGGGCTCCAGTTTCATCCATCTCATTAGAACTGATTCAAATGAATTCTTTTTAATGGCTGAGTAATATTCCATGGTGTATATGTACCACAGCTTCCTCATCCGTTGGTCTGCTGATGGGCATCTAGGTTGCTTCCATGTCCTGGCTATTATAAACAGTGCTGCGATGAACATTGGGGTACACGTGTCTCTTTCAGATCTGGTTTCCTCGGTGTGTATGCCCAGAAGTGGGATTGCTGGGTCATATGGCAGTTCTATTTCCAGCTTTTTAAGAAATCGCCACACTGTTTTCCATAGTGGCTGTACTACTTTGCATTCCCACCAACAGTGTAAGAGGGTTCCCTTTTCTCCACACCCTCTCCAGCATTTATTGCTTGTAGACTTTTGGATAGTAGCCATCCTGACTGGTGTGTAATGGTACCTCATTATGGTTTTGATTTGCATTTCTCTGATAATGAGTGATGTTGAGCATCTTTTCATGTGTTTGTTAGCCATCTGTATGTCTTCCTTGGAGAAATGTCTGTTCAGTTCTTTGGCCCATTTTTTGATTGGGTCATTTATTTTTCTGGAGTTGAGCTGGAGGAGTTGCTTGTATATTTTTGAGATTAATCCTTTGTCTGTTGCTTCGTTTGCTATTATTTTCTCCCAATCTGAGGGCTGTCTTTTCACCTTGCTTATAGTTTCCTTTGTTGTGCAAAAGCTTTTAAGTTTCATTAGGTCCCATTTGTTTATTTTTGCTTTTATTTCTAAAATTCTGGGATGTGGGTCATAGAGGATCCTGCTGTGATTTATGTCGGAGAGTGTTTTGCCTATGTTCTCCTCTAGGAGTTTTATAGTTTCTGGTCTTACATTTAGATCTTTAATCCATTTTGAGTTTATTTTTGTGTATGGTGTTAGAAAGTGTTCTAGTTTCATTCTTTTACAGGTGGTTGACCAGTTTTCCCAGCACCACTTGTTAAAGAGGTTGTCTTTTTTCCATTGTATATCCTTGCCTCCTTTGTCAAAGATAAGGTGACCATAGGTTCGTGGATTTATCTCTGGGCTTTCTATTCTGTTCCATTGATCTATATTTCTGTCTTTGTGCCAGTACCATACTGTCTTGATGACTGCCCACTGTCTTACTTTAATGCTGACTCTAATACTCACAAGCTGTGGCTTTGGGCAAGTTACTTCACCTCTCTGTGCCTGTTTCCTCACCTGTAAGATATGGATAATAGTATATCTGATTTATCTAATAATCATAGTTGCAAAGTACTTAGAACCCTGCTTGCATCTAAAAGAGCTATATGAGTGTTTGTTCATTAAATTAAAATAAACTTGTCTAGGGCCTTATCACTAGTTGTTAGTGGATGTGGTTTGAATCTGGTGCTTTCTGACTCACAAGCCTGAGGTCCCAGCACCTGTACTGTACCACTGTTTCCCTTTGGCATCAAGACTCAGCCTGTCAACTAGGGTACCATTAATGGTCCATAACCAGAGAACAGTGCTCCACAAAGTGTTGTATTGTTTGATATCTGCTACCAGGTAGAAAGATAGAAATAAAGTGAAGGAAATGTAGGTGAAATTTTTGAAAAGCCGTATTTATTCTCCAGTTTTTATTCATGGATAGAAAATAAAAGGGGTTGGGCACTTCCAGATACATTTTAGGTCTTTGGTTTTGCCTTGAGATACTGGGATGCTGAGTTCTCACCATGTGACCTTGCGGAAGTCATGTAACTTCTTGCATGTAAATCTGAAGAATCTGTTAACTACAAACAAGGCTGACACATTTGCAGATGTTAAAAGTGCCTCTGTAAAGTGCCACGTTAAAAAAAAAAATCTTGCTTTGAATTGGGAAACACATCATTCTGGTTCCCTATTCACTGTGGTTCCTTCTCAGGTGACCAGTAGTTAGTTGTTGATTTGAATTGAGTGAATGAATGAACAGATGAGTAAGTATAAACTTCCAATCTGAAATTTGGGCAGAGGGAGTAGAATCACCATCTTGAGGATGACGGGAGCACACCATTGCCTTTTGAACAGCCTGTTCCTAAAATGTTTATTGAATGCTTACTATGTGCCTATCTCTATTCTAGACAGAGAGAGTAATAATGAACAGAAATAGTGGAGCTTGTATTGTAGTTCTGGGGAGACAAACAAGTGGACAAGAAAGTTGAGCTGTGAAGTAAGACAACAGATACAGGATAGTGTG